ATCAGTATGATCTGATAGATTCAGAGTTTCAGAATTTGAGCCGATAGATTCACGCCAAAGAAAATCTCTTCATGTGCCAGATTATAATATGTAACTTTGAGCTGCTCATCAGTCTGCTTCTTGCCTACTTATACATGGATTATTGCTGACAGAGACATTGCTTATCTCCATTGTGTAGATTGAATCAATATCAACAAAACTGGAAGATGATAAAGCAGAATGTGAGAGGTGCTGCTCTGAAATAGAAACTACAAAGGTTTGAACATTTCATCTGATGACCTATATTGCCATCACTTCTCAACCTTTTGTGATCTTGTCACTCCCAAGTCCTGACTTGACTTTGCTGATTTTGTAGGGTAAATGGCTTCCAACTCTCCGAAGTCTTGTTTTAAAAATAAATGATACCTTTAGTCGCAACTTCCAAGAAATGGCTGTTGCTGGAGAAGTTTCACTTGGTATGTATGTCTGATCTGTTTTATGTCATTGTTTGTACACTTTTGTGTAACACTAAGTGTTGTATGAAATTTTCCTTTCCTGGCAGATGAGCATGGTCTTGATTTTAGTCAATACGGTATTCTTATAAAGGTGAAGTTTAGGTAAGTTTCTTTTCCCATTGAATGTGCTGTTTTATTATTTCTTGCAATTGGGCAAAGAATAACTTCCACCGCTGAACTTTGCTCAAAATTGCACTGTTTCTTGATGCCTGATAGCCACCACACCAGTTAGTGCTTATGTCAGTTTACTTAAACCTGTAGTGGGATGGGGTAGCCATGATTAGTTGTACCGCATGATTGTATTCTAGGATGTGTTTAACCATAATCCTGTGATAAGCAGTCTTGAGTTTTATTTATTATGAGAAATAACCTGTTGAAATCGATAATGTATCATGCACTTTTTTTACAGCCTATTTCTTCTTTCCCGCCCGTTCTTGACTCTAGTTCCTAACCTGAGGAGCTTTGGCCAAGTTGATGCGTGGTCCTTGCATGCACTCCCATCATGAGATGTTTATCTGTTATACTGTTATTAACATCTACTCCCTCCGTTCCTAAATGATATAAGTCGTTGGGGGGTTGTGAAGTCCCAACGACTTATATATTTCGGAACAGAGGTAATAGTTCGTCTAGCATATATAGGCAATCTATCAAGTGTTGTTTCAGAGAAGAACACTGGTTATTTGAATGGTTTTAACAGGATTGTAAAATTTACTGTGAGTGTTATTTTGGTCAGGCAAACTGGTGAGCTGCAGGTGCTAAGTGCTCATCACCAATCTGGAGGGGTATGGATAAACGCTGTCTGTCTTGGATGTGTTTTGTTTTTTAATCTCTGCTGTGTGTTGTTGTTATAGTTGGTATTTATTCTCATGTGATTTGTTTGCAGGAGCGGTCAGTTTCCACGATCCTGTATCTTGTATCGCTCCAAGACCTGACCAACTGCCCATTTAGGGTGGTTGATGAGATAAACCAAGGCAAGCTTATTATGCTTTTTGTTTTGCCATGTGCAGTTCTAGTCAACATTGTTAGACCTGCATGGATGAATGAATGAATGAACGATGCACTAGCTTACTTGTTCACCCCCCAATAAACATGCATGCAGGAATGGATCCGGTAAACGAGAGGAAGATGTTCCAGCAGCTTGTGAGGGCGGCGAGCCAACTCAACACACCACAGTAAGTACAGTCTTGCGCAACAAACAGTTTGACCTAGCTTGGATCTGCTGGCGTTTGCTTGCTTTCCTTGTAACTAACTAAGTAAGCTGGTATGGTATGGTATGGTTCATCGAATGTGGGTGGTGTGTGTGTGTGTAGGTGCTTCCTGCTGACACCCAAGTTGCTGCCTGATTTGGAATATAGCGACGCGTGCAGCATCTTGAACATCATGAACGGTCCCTGGATTGAGAAACCAGCCCATGGTAATGTAGTTTTTATTTATAGTGGATATGGATAGTTGACTTGGTTCATCCCCTTTTGGAAGCTGACGATGAGTGGCTTTGGAATGCAGCTTGGCGCGCGGGAGATAGTTGGAGAACGGTCATTGGCCTGGGGCTGGCTGGGAACTGAATTGATTGACCCACCACTTGGAAGCTGCTGTCTGCTGCCTGCTGCCTGCTTTTGGGATGTAAATATAGCTAGCTAGCTAGCTGATTGCATAGCTTTATTATTATCATTATCCACAATCGGAGTACTCCCTCTGTAAACTAATATAAGAGCGTTTAGATCACTAAAATAGCGATCTAAACGCTCTTATATTAGTTTACGGAGGGAGTACTTATTAAGTTAGTAGTAATTCAGTTGAGTATACTAGTCCCTCCGTTCACTTTTGTAAGTCATTTCAGACAACTAAAAATAGACTGATTTGCACATTGTCTGAAATGTCTTCAAAGCCTTATAAAAGTGAACAGAGGGAGTAGTATTTATCAGCAGTTGGTAATTGGGTCGGTGTGAATAGTTAAATTAGGGGGGCTGTAATCGGAGCAGGTAAGGATGATGTATCTGAGACTAAACTTTTATCCTTTTCATTGACACAAGTTGTAGTATCAACTAACTAGTTTGAGTTTGAGTTTGACTCTTGCTCTCTTCTTCTGCTTGTGCAATATTATTATTATTATTATTTAATATTATTATTATAAGAAGAAGCTACCATCAGAATTAGATTGCAAAGGATACGAGCCAAGCTAGCTAGCAAACACAATAGTGATGATGCTCGCTCTGTTGGGCATTCGTCATGACAAAACTGAAACTGGGTATGTATGTATGTATGTATGTATGTATGGATTCTCTTGTGTTTGTTTTGTTTGTTGTTGTTATACGAGCCAACATATATGCACAAGTAATTATTTTTTGTTTTGTTTATTAAACTAATAATATATATAAATAGGCATACGTCAAGGACTGACAAGTATTGATTTTACACGTATGAATGGAGAGAGCAGAGCACTTGTCTAGATAGATTATTCCATTTTCTTCAACCTATCGCTGACCTCACGCCGTGCAGTAATTCAAAGCCAAGATGATGTTTGGTTTGATTGCCTCAGCTCTCATGCTTGCAACTAGCCTTGGGACTATTTTTTATTCTACACACACAAATAGTACGAGTGTACAAGACAGCACTTGTGTGCTACGTCTTTAGTTAGCTAGTCACAAGCTAAGTAATTTACATCTAATATTATTCCATTTCCTTCAACCTAGTTACTATTCCCTCCGTTCTTAAATATAAGTCTTTATAGAGATTTCACTATCAACTATATATAGATAAGTGTAGATTCGTTCATTTTGCTTCGTATACAGTCCGCTTAGTGGAGTCTCTACAAAGACTTGCATTTAGGAACGGGAGAAGTACTATATAAGTAGTTATCGCCGCTGACCTCAATGGGTTGGGTTGGCAGTAATTCAAAACAAAGATGATGTTTGGTTTGCAACTAGCCTTTCTTTAGTTTTGTCTTCTTTTGTGCTAGATGGATTCTTTCTTTCTTTCTTTCTTTCTTTCTTTCTTTCTTTCTTTCTTGTATCTAGATAGATATATTTGAACATACATACATACATACAACCACATTGGTTTGGTTTGGTTTGGTTGACCTCATCACCATTATGCATGCAATCCAATTCAAGTACAAACGAATAAATATATTCCTATGTATGTATGTAATGTGGCGGCCGGGAAGAAGATGCAGTATATTCTATCTGTCTCGTCAGCATATATATCTATCTATCTAGTAATATCTGGTGCATCATCCATGACAGGTGCATATTATTCATGTCCAGCTCCAGCTCCAGCCAGCCATTGATCAAGCTCCAACTGCAACGGTGGTTGAGCAAGCTGATTAGTATTTTGTTTGTTTGAATAAGCAAGTTGAATTATTTGACTACATCAAGCAATTAACTAGTCTAGCACACACCCTACCTATTTGTAATCTAATCTTGCTGTTTGTTTGTGCATACATACATGCTAACTAAACTCTAGCAGCCAACCACATGCAGGTACTAGTTGTAATTCTCAGCCAGAGCCAGACTCACATGTTGGCCGGTCTAATATACTAATTTCTCTCATAGTCATGGCAGGCTCAGTGGTGAGAGGTGCATCCAAATTATATACATAGATTTATGTATGTATGTATGTATGTATGTATGTATGTAACATGCATGTAGCAGCAGCAGTTAGACCTGGCTACCAATTATTGCATCCTTTTCTCAATTGCCTCCTCACATGATTTTTGCTGTCAGATTAAAATCATTACTCTACACACTAGTAAATATTAGAGATTGCATCATCATGCATGTTCACCTCAAATTCTTTAATTTTTGGCGGCTAAAAGGAAGACTTCTCATTGGCCAGCCCAGGAGAAACAGGATTTTACAACCAACCCAACCCAACCCAACCCAACCCGGGGAAGACTTTTGGATGCTACACTTGAACTTGATGTGCACGGCGATCAATCTTGAAGAAGATGATGCTGTGTTTGAACATGCATGCATGCTGAATTGCCATCACTAGCTAGCTAATCTTTTCTTTTTTGAATCTTGATTGATTGATAGCTTAGCGCCCTTCCTACCTACTCCCTCCGCTCCGATTTACTCGTCGTGGTAAGACGTTTTTTGACACTAACCATCTTATTTCTTTACATACGGAGACGGTCGGTCGGCGGCGTTGACATCATCCTCCCTCTTGTTGCTCCTATGTCTCTAGTAAATTTATTTTTGTGGCATTTTTCAGTATAATAATTGTATTGTAGTAACTAGTAATTCCATGCATCGCATGTACATGTGTGCTAGCTAGCCTATGCACAATTGTATTGTATTGTACATACACACAACCAGTCAATACATGCCTTGATGTGCAATATGAGATCACCATCTTCTTCTCTTCTCGTCGTCCTCTCAACATTTTTGTCATCTGCTTGCCTTCCTTGAGCTAGCACTGGATTGATTTGATCTTTGACTCACTCACTGATTCATTGATTGATTGATAGCGCCCACCGTTACCGTAGTTTCTTTTCTTCACATTACATTACACACGGAGGCGGTCGGCGGCGTTGACGTCCTCCTCCCTGCTCCTGCTCCGGCTGGCCAACCACCGCGCCGTCCGCCGCGCGATGGGCACCCACCGCTGCCGCGCCCTCTCCTCCTCCTCCGTCCTTACCGCCACCCGAGGCAGCCGCACGATCTCCGACATAGACCGCACGCCCGACGACACCAGCCTCGACGCCGCGCGCACCGACGATGGCTCCACGGCGTCGGAGCCGCCGCACCCTCCAAGTCCACGTACCAGGCTGGGCGCCGCCTTGCTGCCGCTCCCGCTCTCCACGTCCAGCAGCCGCTTCCTCTCAATCTCAATGGACACGCCGGCGCCGTCGTGATCGTCTCGGTGGCCGCGCTCCTCCGGCGGCTCGTCTCCTAGGAAGATAATGTCGTCGTCGGGGTAGGGGTAGGGGAAGCGGCCGCTGGAGACGGAGCGCAGCATCTCCGTGTCCAGCGCGATGAGGTCCGCCGAGTTGAGGTCGCTCCACCGGCTCTTGAACACGCTGTCCGACACCACGATGCGATGCCGGTGCCGGTCCAGCTTAGAGTTAGACTCATCAGCAGCACCAGCATCATCACCGGCGCCAGCGTCTCCTATGCCGCCGAAGCGCGCCGACGGCACGCGCTCGACGAAGATGCCTGCGAGGAGGTCGCGGCCGGAGGACGGTGCGGGGGCGGCACCAACGGCGGCTGCGTTGTCGCCTGCTCCGAAGACGAAGCGCGCGCTGGCGGCGGCGTACTTGAGGCCGAGGTCGGCGTCGTCGGGGTGGACGCGGGCGCGGCAGAGCGGGCAGCTGGCGCTGGAGTGCAGCCAGCGATCGACGCAGTCGAGGTGGAAGGCGTGGCGGCAGCGGGGGAGCAGGCGGAGCAGGTCGGCGTCGTCGAAGCGGGCCAGGCACACGGCGCACTCCAGGCCCTGCCGCGCCCCGCGCAGCGCCGCGAACCGGAAGAAGGGCAGCGACTCGATGACCGCCTTGCCCACGCCGGCGCTGGCCTCCGACTCGATCAAGGCGTCGGGGGCGGGCGCGCGGGAGGGGCTGGCGGTGGTGGTGGCGGGGAGGAGGGGCGTGTTGGCGGGGTGGCAGAACTTGGCGTACATGAGGAGGAGGAAGGTGAGGGAGAAGATCATGGTGAAGATGCCCACCACGATGGCCACGCTCGGCCGGAACGACACCTTCACGCCCGCCCCAGGCGGCGTCTCCTCCGCAGCCGGCTGCGTCGGCGCCTGCGCGTGCGCGTGTGCCGCGATCGTCGCGCAGAGCAGCAGGAGCAGCATGGTTTTCGCCATGGCCACGTACGTACGATTCAGAAGGATCGGCGGCGATCGAGGAAATGGCGGTGGTTGTCGTCCAGGTGAGGTCAGTAGTGTGGGAGCGAGTACCGCGCCATGGATAGGACCGGGAGCGGAACCGAAGGAAGGAATGAGCTAGCCCGACGACGACGACGACGATGATGATGAGAGAAGAAGAAGTAGCCGCTGAGGTCTATCACAAATGGAAGTGGGGTTCGGTTTGGTTGCTTGTCTTGTTCCCTCTGTGCCTACGTGGTTGCTTACTCGTATATCATCACCATGGCCAGGCCACTGACTTCCTCCTCGGTGGGCCCCCTTCATCCACCAGTGCATGTCATGCCATCTGTCTTTTCCTTCCATCTCTTTTATTTCGACATCGAAAGTCGTCGTCGTCTTCTTCTTCTTCTTCCTCTTCTTCTTCACCGGACCGCCGGATCATACATACGCAAGGGCGGCCACATATATGATTTGATGTCGCCTGTCATTTTTCTTCATCAATTTTTCTGTCATGACAAGTACCTATCGATCGATGGTGTATGAGCTAGTATATCATTTTTCTTCTTCTGATAAACATAGGTTTTATTGACTTTTGACGTCGCATCGATGCCATGTAACCATACATAATTCACACTCAGCTACCCTGTGCACAATGAGACGCGCACAACTCATATTGACCCACGCAAACATTTTGACCAACGGTTTGACAAAATGAAGGAAAGCCAGTTCAACAAGACAAGACATGCCCGGTAAAAAATCCTCCTTGCTTCTATTTCTACCTTGTGCTCCAGCGGATGTAATACTGGGAATGAACTACCTAGTAGTACTACAGAGCCAATGTAAGTATACACGTGTGTTTGATCTCCGAGTCTCATGTATGATGACTTGTTGTGGCCGCATGCAATGCGTTTGTGTAATGAATATATATGTGTTTATTTCAGAAAGAAAAAAAAAAGATCTTTTGTTTTCTATACTAGGGAAGATGTGTGTGTTGTTGGGTTGGCAAAAAAACAAGGAGTTGTGGGCTTAGCTTAGCGTAGCTGGGCTGGGTAGTTTGCCCAATGGATGTGTGATTTGGATTGGATTGAAGGGAAAAAAAAGTGTTGATGGGTTGGGGTGGGGGAAAGGAAAGGAAAGGAAGTTTGTGTCCGTGTCGCACTGAAATCCACGCCACCCCGCCCCCAACCCCACCCCACGCCAAGCGCGTGCTATTATATCCTCTGCACCGCTCCTGATCTGAATTTCCCCTTTCCTCTTCTTCTTCTTCTTCTTCTTCTTTTCTTCTTCTTGTGTCTGTCGCTCGCAGCTCGCAGTTGAGCTGCCGGAGATGTCGTCCTCCTCCTTGTCCAAGGCCAGATTCGAGGTCAGTAATCTCCTCTTCCCCCTCTCTCAAGTCAATTCCTCTACCCTACCCTACCTACTTCATCATCTTCATCATCATCATCATCATCATCATCTCATATACACTAGATAGATAAGATGATAATTCACAGGGCAAGACCAGAAATCGAATCTGACATCAATTGCAACCTCAATTGTCTTGCTAATTATACATTACATACCATACATACATACATACTACTAGTAATTGCACTAAGTAAAGAGGATGGGATGGATTACCTCTCCTCTCCTCACCTCAACAATTGCTAGGCCTAGTACCAGTACCAGGGGGTGCTGATTCTTTCCAAGCAAGCAGAGTAAAGCTTGCAATTGCACTTGAGCTTCAACACCAGCCATGCCGTGTCCGTCTCATCTCATCCGCTCTCTTGTCTTCTCTTCTCTTGTCGTTGGCGTGCGTGCAGGGTAAAGGAGGCGGAGCCGGGAGATCCATATCGCTGGCCGCCTCCAGGGCCAAGCTCGCCGCAGCCACCAAGAAAGCTACTACTACTAGTACAGCCGGAGGCGGGCGGGGCAAGGGCAAGGCGGCCAAGAAGGTCTTCTCCCTCACCGGCCAGAAGTTCGAAACACCAGAGGAGGTCTCTCTCAAATTCTTCTTTCATCATACTCCTACTTGTAGTATGTATCTCATCTGATCTGCACAAGAAAATTCTCTACTGATTTGATTTCACTCGCAGAGGGAGCCCCTGAGGATCTTCTATCAATCGCTCTCCAACCAGATCCCATCCAGCGACATGGCCGAATTCTGGTACCTACCCACCCCACCTCTGCTCCACCAATTGCTCACCTGTTACTATACTAGTGCTTGCTTGACCACAAGTTACTAGTGCTAGTCTGATCCATCCATCCATTGATTTCTCTTCTCTGAATGTCACTCAATCTAGATACGTCCATTTTCGAGACAAGTAATTTCGAACGGAGGCACATCTACAGTTTGCGACCTAATTACACTAGTAGTAGTATTCACAGACAACTTCACTCTCAAACTCTGAATTACACCTCCATAGTTCACACACACTTGAAAAATGTATCCTCTTCCAAATTTACTACTCCATCAATATTATACTGCTGCTGCAGACTTCCCTATACTGCTACTCCACCAATATTTTACTACAGCAACAACAGTCGGACCTCACCTCAAGGGGTTACACACAGAATCACCTACTAGTAGTTTACTGCAGCAATATGTATGTTATACCACCACACCATTGCTCTGCAATGTATGTATGTATGTATGTATGTATATATGTGTGTATGTAATAATACTTACCTGACAGACACAACACACACACACGCACATCTTGCAGGCTAATGGAGCACGGCCTGTTATCTCCGGAGAGAGCCAAGAAAGCCTACGACAGGAAGCTCAAACGGCAGCAGCAGATCAAATCAGGGATCCCCATCAAGTCGTCAAATTCCACCACTGTCAACAAGCACAATAACAACAATAAACCTGCAGAGAGCTGGAAGAAACCTGTACCAGTGGTTTCTTCTTCTTCCACAGCGCGTCACAACACAGATCATTCCGCCGGCAAGGCCAAGAGAAGAGTCGAGTACAGCAGCGACGACGACGACGACGACAAAGAATTCATTGTCAAGCTCAAGAGACCCAATTTCAACTCCAACTCCAATTCCACTTCCAGGGGTGGCTGAACTGCTCCTCAACTTGATGAATGGGCCTGTCTGTCTGTTTGTTTGTTTCTTTCCGGCTAGCACATATCCTACTACATGGATCATCAAGCAATACCATCTCTGATTCAGATTCAGATCACTAACTCGACTTTTATTTATTTTGTTTTTCACCCTACAAGTACAACAACGAATTGGCTCTTCTGTTCTGACTACATATATATGTCTGTCTGTGTATTTGATTTCAGAGACAAGATAGACCTTACCTTTTTGTTGTAAGCAATGCCTATATTGTGAAAATAATGAATGAATGAATAAATGAACACACTCAGTCTGTTTCTTCCCGATGAGGAAGAGGAGTTTTTTTTTTTTGGATTGATAAAGAGCTTTTTTTGTTAACTCACTCATAATGCAGCATCAAGCTGATAGAATGCAGCCCCTGCATGATTAGGATGCACACTAGCATAACCTGATAAGAAATAAAAAGGAAATATAGGAAACAGTAAAGCCACATGAGGCCGAAACTATGCCTATGTCGAAGAGGATGGTGGTCCTATTCAGAGAGTATGCCGCTATCCATGATGGATAAAGGACCCTAATAAGTGCCACACGTGTGGCACCAACACATGCCAACTCCAAAGTTTTTGATAGCAATTTTAGTGACGCGAGGATGACAACTTTAGTTGTCAAGCATCGCAATTTTTTTTTCAGATAGCAAGTTCCAGTTTTTCTAGTTTGTTTTTTCTTTTCGAATGACAACTTTAGCTGTAAAAAAACATCAGGACCGGAGTGAGGGAGTCCTGGACTAGGGGATCCTCGGGCTGCCGTTCTATCTTTTATGGGCCGGACAGGTGGGCCGCTCTGTGATTATTATTGGAAGGCCGAGCTATAAGGCGACTCTGTGTTCACCAAGGAAACCTCCAAAGCCTTGGTGTGTCCTCCAACTCAAGATGGTAGAATCGGCAAGATTATTCCGTGATGGCAACCAACCATGTGTAACCCTAGGTACCCCTGATGTCTATGTAAACCAGAGGGTTTAGTCCGTAGAGGCTAGAAGAACCATCATCCTACTCACCTAGGGTTTTGTTCATGCGATCTCGTGGTAGATCAACTCTGTAACAGTATACACACATCAATATAATCAAGCAGGACGTAGGGTTTTACCTCTCCGAGAGGGACCGAACCTGAATAAATACTGTCCCTGTGTTCCTTGTTCCCCATTGATCTAAGATCCACAGCTCGGGACCCCCTACCCGAGATCCGCCGGTTTTGACACCGATATTGGTGCTTTCATTGACAGTTTCGTTGTTGGATCGCCGAAGGATTAATGGCTCCCCTAGTCATCGGTGATGGCATCCTCATTGGGGACATCTTCATCCCCGGACAACTTTTCACATTCAGCAGCATTGTTCTGCACACCAATTCGACTGGTCACCTTGACCAGGTCGACAATTTTGCCCCTGGGCAGGGAATCAGGTTCGGCGGCCTAGAGTACGTCACTGACTCCTGGGGCGATCTGATCTTTACTGGGTTCTCAGCTTCACCTGAGGAACCTGCGAATCCCGAAGCCTCAATTTCGGATCCTCTTATTCGCCCTGCCTCGTGGGTGACCCTCACCTCAGATCCAACCTTGAGCTCGGATCCGACCCCAGAATCCAGAAACCGGGAATCAGCCCTCGAGCACGCCCTTTGTGCGGTCACGCGTGAGGATAACTCCGATAGAGGCCACAAGACGAACCCGGGTGACCTCTCGCTTTTAAACGAGACACTAGATCGGATCCAGTCAATAAGCATTGCAGATGGGCCATCTTCAGTCTACGATCAGATCAGATCAGATCGGAGGCGCTCCACAAGTAATTTTACATCCCACTGACCACCCACTTAGTAGCCACTGTCCAAAATTTAACCAATATGTTGGACTACACCTCTGAGGAGGCCGAGGACATGGACGAGGACGTCGACGCCATGGCCTATACCGCAAATTCCCAAACCACCCCAACACCGGAAAGTGGACTACCACTTTCACGTATGACGTCTACACGGTGGACACCCCCAACGATAAGGGCAATAACACCACTGGGAAGAACGACGACGGCACCCCTAGAAGGAACGACGATAAGCCCGACGAGTAGCCGCCCAAACGCGGACGACAGTGCAGACGATCCAGGGGGCGTAAGAGTAGGGAAAGCAACACGGACACCGAAGAAAATGATACCCCGGACAACATGGAAGACCTCGGCGACCATGTTGCCCCGAGAAGCAACCCAATGGCTTGGAAGAGCACGAGGACCAGGGTGACTCCGACGACCTCAACGACTCCGAGGAGAGCAACTACCTCCCTCGTTCCGAGGATGAGGAAAGCCTCGGAGCTGAGGACTTCATCGTCCCGAAGACCTTTTGGGACAGGAATGGTTTAAACGACAACTAATAGCCACCGCCTGAAGCATAAAAAAGAAGCAGCAACAACTAAAAGGCGAACAGAACACCCTCAATAATAGGTGGACGATGGTCTTGGCAGCTGAAGAAGGCTTCGAGAATCAGCGGCAGGACCAAACCAAAAGCTACCCAAAACGGCGCCTACTGCCACAATTCGACGACGAGGCCCTTGAGCCTATACCCCCCATACATACTCAAGCACACCAGCCCGACCGCCCTCCTTCAGGACGGGACATGACGACTATAGAAGCCGAATATTCACCTGCTCCCCCTCGCCGAAGAGGCAAGGAGCCAATGCAGCCGAAAGACCCATACGATCTTCCGCACGACTTAACCACCAGAACATGCCATACAAGATCCATCTATGGATCTAGAGGGTACGCTCCCGCTGTACGGGACGGATACCAAGCCTGGTGCGATATAAATGATAGAGCCTGGGAGCAGCACCATGCTCAGATGGCAGCCGGTCTCTGGCGTGATGTAGCTCGGGTCAGAGGCGCCACACACCCGATTGTTGGGGAACGTAGTATTTAAAAAAAAAATCCTACGATCATGCAAGATCTATCTAGGAGAAGCATAGCAACAAGCGGGGAGAGTGTGTCCACGTACCCTCGTAGACCGAAAACGGAAGCGTTTAGTAACGCGGTTGATGTAGTTGAACATCTTCGCGATCCAACCGATCCAAGTACCGAACGCGCCGCACCTCCGCGATCTGCACACATTCAGCTTGGTGACGTCCCTCAAACTCTTGATCCAGTTGAGGCCGATGGAGAGTCCCGTCAGCACGAGGGCGTGGTGACGGTGATGATGAAGTTACCGGCGCAGGGCTTCGCCTGAGCGCTACGACGATATGACCGAGGTGTGTAACTGTGGAGGGGGGCACCACACACGGCTAAAAGATCAACTTGTGTGTCTTTGGGGTGCCTCCTCCCCCGTATATAAAGGAGGGGAGTAGGAGGACGACCGGCCCTAGGGGGCGCGCCCAAGGAGGGGAGTCCTACTAGGCTCCAAGTCCTAGTAGGATTCCACCAAGAGGGAGAGAGGGGGAAGGAAGGAGAGGGAGAGGGAGTAGGAAAGGGGGGGCGCCGCCCCCCTTCCCTTGTCCAATTCGGACTCCAGGGGGGCGGTGTCGGTGTCAAAACCGGCGGATCTCGGGTAGGGGGTCCCGAACTGTGCGTCTAAGGCTAATGGTAACAGGAGCGGGGGACATAATGTTTACCCAGGTTCGGGCCCTCTCTATGGAGGTAATACCATACTTCCTGCTTGATTGATCTTGATGATATGAGTATTACAAGAGTTGATTTACCACGAGATCATAGAGGCTAAACCCTAGAAGCTAGCCTATGATTATGATTGTTGTTGTGCTACAGAATAAACCCTCCGGTTTATATAGACATCGAGGGGGCTAGGGTTACATAGAGTCGGTTACAAAGAAAGGAATCTACATATCCGACTTTCCAAGCTTGCCTTCCACGCAAAGGAGAGTCCCACCCGGACACGGGATGAAGTCTTCAATCTTGTATCTTCATAGTCCAACAGTCCGGCATAAGCATATAGTCCGGCTGTCCGAGGACCCCCTAATCCTAGACTCCCTCAGTAGCCCCTGAACCAGGCTTCAATGACGATGAGTCCGACGCGCAAATTGTCTTCGGCATTGCAAGGTGGGTTCCTTCTCCAAATACTCCAAAGAAGATATTGAACACAAGAATCGTGTCTGGCTCTGCAAAACAAATTCCACATACCACCGTAGAGAGCACAATATTCCACAAATCTAATCTGCTGACAACTTTTGCTTAGCATGACATCACGCCGTGGCCCAGTCATGATTCGAACCGTTTTTCTCAAGCTGCTATTGCACACCTTGCGAGGCGGTTTCATTGGCACGTCTTGTCGAAGCAGAGATCGTGTCCCCTTATCACGGGATACTCATCAATACGGGTGTGGGTGAGGGAGTCCTGGATAAGGGGGTATCCGGACAGCCGAACTGTGTACAATGTCCGGACTATTGAAGCGTGAAGATACAAGACTCAAGACTTCGGCCCGTGTCCGGATGGGACTCTCCTTTGCATGGGAGGCAAGCTTGGCGATCCTGATATTATATTTCCTTCCTTGTAACCGACTCCATGTAAACCCTAGCCCTCTCCGGTGTCTATATAAACCGGAGAGGTTGGTCCTTAGAAGGCCGATCACAATTACAATCATACCATCATAGGCTAGCTCCTAGGGTTTAGCCTCTATGATCTCGTGGTAGATCTACTCTTGTACTACCCATATCATCAATATTAATCAAGCAGGAAGTAGGGTTTTGCCTCCATCGAGAGGGCCCGAACCTGGGTAAACATCTGTGTCCCTTACTTCTTGTTATCATCAGCCTTGACGCACAAATCGGGACCCCCTACTCGAGATCCGCCAGTTTTGACACCGACATTGGTGCTTTCATTGAGAGTTCCTCAGTGTCGTTGCTATTAGGCTCGATGGCTCGTCTCATCGTCAAGGACGACATTACTTCGGAGGGAGCTCTGGCTGTAGGCCAAACGCTCCGACTCGGCGGCTTTATTATGGCCTCCCCATCGGCGGTTGCACCGATG